CTCTCCCACTTGCAGCCTCTGTTTGTACTTGGAATGTTGGGAACAAACTAGACCCATGTGGTCTGGTTTCCCTCTTTCCCACTCCTTTCAGAAACATTTCTGGTGTTGTGGACTGGGCAATTCAGAAGCATCAAGCCTGTTCTTTCACAGTCTATTATAGTATCATATCAATAACTTCTCAGGTCAGGAGATCAGGGGGTAAAAAAAACTGCCCCCCCAAAAAGTGGAGCAGCGCACATGGGGGCAGTGTGTGCTGCCCCAAACTTGAATCTGGATGGCCAGAGCCATGCTCTGGTTGCCAGCCAGCCTCTGAGCAGCAGGATCACTGCTGCTGCAGCCTCAGGAGGCCCCAGGACCCCAGGTAAATCTGCTGGGGTCAGCCCAGGGCAAGACCCAGGATCCCCTACCCCACCCAGGGTAACCTGCCATGCACCAGAGGGCATATAGCACAGGTGTTCCCCAGAGACAAGTAGCAGTGGCACAAGGTGTGCTGCTGCTTCTTGTCCTTGGGGAAACAAACATCCACACTTGTGTGTATGCCACCTCAACGACTGCTTCATATGTCTTTTGTATGGTAGTGTATGCCTACTCAACCAAGATGGGCAGCTAGTCTTGGACCAGACAGGCAGGCACACCCACCCACTGAAGCCAGGAGATGTTGAATGCCTTTACCCTTTCCCTGAATTGGGTAGCAGAGCACCAATCCTTGCTCCTGCATTGGTTTTGGTTGTATAAGTCTGCCTGAGCGGCTCTGATATCAGCTCTCCCCAGGTTTCTAGCATAAAAGTGACAAAGGGAAAGGGGATTTCTAGCTGCAGAAATTCTCTGGTGAGCAGAGATGGGCTGTGGGTCAGTAGCATAACTATGACCATGTATAAGCACTAGGCTTCTACCAGGAGAATCACTGCATAGAAACCACAAACATGCATGCTTCATCAAGTTTCTCCCACAGGAAAGAACACCTGTACACTTTCTCATCACTAGCGTCCTCCCACGGACTAGGAGCTGCTGAGTGGCAGGAAATGCTCCCTGCACCCTTCCTAGGACTGGGGTCACCCCAGTCCTGAGAGAAATTAGGGTGGAGAAGACTTCCATGACTTCCCCAGAGTAGGGTCACCCAGTTTGGAGGGGGCATGGGGGACATAGCCCTACTTCTCCTGTCCCTCCTTGGAGATGGGTGCTCCCTCCTCCACTCCCTAGATCAGGGTCCTGGGTCTGGAGAGCAATTCAGGGGGTTTGTCCACCCTGGTCTTCTCTCCTGTACTGGTCCAGTAGGGGAGGGGTGCAGCTGCTGCTGCTTGGGAAACAGGCTGGGGGCTTTAACTCACTGTTTCCTCCTCTCTGTTCCTGGAGATTGGGAGTGGACCAGAGGTGGCTACTCCCTGCCTTTTCCCCAGGTACTGGTTTGGAGAAGGTGTGGGGAGTCTTTTCCTGCCACTCCACTCTCCCTGGGGACCAGTAGGAGTGGAGTAGCCACTGCTCCCCAAGCTTTTCCCAGACTGGGATCACCTGGTTTGGTAAAAGCACAGTGGTTAGGAGAGAGGGGGCAGCTGTAGGCTGAATATCTGTATTGCTCCCTCTCCTGGAAAGATTTCTACTGGTGGAAATTTCTTGGAAGTTTCCACCAGTAGAAATGAATGCCTGCTCATGACCTACACCACTAGCCCAGCACCTAGTCACTCTAAGGACAAGGGGAGTGGAAGCAAGATAAAGGCAAATTTCAAACTCTGCCCCTCAAGCTAAATGACATGTACATATGTAGCCACAAACTGGAGTTTTGTAATTAATATCTACCATGGTTATTTGTAGACTCCCTTCACCCTAGAAGCAGTTGCTCAGTGACACAGGGCAACATATGGGATACAAAAGCTCCATATGTCATTGAAGGTGTTTCTAAGTTGTGGAAGGTGCAAGGAGAATACTTGGCTTCACCTGCCAAAATTTTACAAAGGGATCCTCTAACGTGCCCAAAGCTGAATTTGCAGCACATTTGAATGATAAAATAATTGATTGCCTATAATTCAAGGAGGCTAAATGAGAGCTCTGATAAGCAGCTCTGGTGTAATGACCAAAAGCTAAGATGCACGTGGCATATCATACATTACACTATTACCAGTTGGCTTAGATCTTAAATACTCAGCCCTTTTTAGCTGTAAAATATCTTCAAGTTTGCACAATCCAAAAACACATTTTCATTGGCTAATAGTAAAGTTGGTTTTGGAGTCAAGAATGGCTGATAATTAAATCCAACAGCATGAGAATCTGGTACTGACCTGCTCTGAACAAGTGATTTGGCTACCTGAAGAGGGGAGAATCAAAACCTTTTCTCCAAGCAGACTCAAAGAACTTAAATAAAGAAAAATCCTTGGACACTAACAAAGAAAAACATAATGCAGGCAAGTGAAAAAAATGACAGGGGATTGAGCTGGTTGTTGGACATATGTGTGTTAGAAAAACTAGAACTATCATTTTTTTTGACTAGCAAGCCTCTCAGTGATCTTCACATGAATTTGGAGAGTTGCTTTGTTTTAAAACATGACAGGAACAGAAAAAAGCTTGTGCTACTGTCCTCAAATTATCTTGCCTCCACAATGCTTTTCTGGAAGGGTAGCTGTTTTGCTTTAACAGAGACAAATTCAGTAGTATTACAAAGATGAATGCAATAGAATTACACACTTGGTAGAGGAAAGTTTAGCTTCGTGGCAGTTAAGAGTTATCCAAGAAATTTAACTACTTGAAATTTGCCATTTTCAGCTGTGTGGAGGAAAATCTGGAAGGAGCAATTCCAGCAAGTATATTTAGTCAAACAGTACCAGATGGATGTGTGGGATTCACCTTATGCTTTAGTTATGAATGAAAGTAGTCATCTAAGAATGTGTTAGACTGTATTTTTTGCCTCTAGAATTATGGTCAAGGTGTGGCCAATGCCGACATGGCTGGGTCTGGATTATGACTTAGGGATTTGTGGAAAAGAAAAGAAAAGAGAGTTTATGCAAAGCCAGAGAATGTTGTGATCAGAACATGTCACTCAGATGTAGTCACTCTGTGACTAGACATTTGCGCTGTGTATGAACTGGTGCCACAATCACAAACAGGCAGCAGGAATTTTTAATAGAGTATTTTGTGCTTTCCATCTTCGAAGAGTCTTACAAGCAGTCATCCCATGGAGGAAAGCATAATTTCAATTGTACAGATGGGGGAACAAACAGAGATTTGCCCAGTGTCATAGAAGCAGTTCATGTCAGCAGCTGGGATTTAATAGCAGCTAGTCCTATCCTGTCTACAGGGTTTTGACACTGGCTTCAAGAGGAAGAGGAGAAGGCCGACTATCCCATATAAGATAGGTATCGTTCTTTTCTGATATGAAGACAAACATAAACCAAGGACAGGTTCTGATTCAGGAAGTTCTTCAGCTTGTGCTTAAATCTATCCCTTTTCACCTGCTTCAGGCCTTTTCTGAATCAAGGTGCAAGGTATAGTGCATTGTGTATCTTTCATAATTAATCTCTGCTGTAAAATAAACTCAAAGGCTGCATCCAGACGAGTGTGGCTGTGTGGTATGTGGTGCAACAAACATGTCTGTGGTGCCACATACTGCACGCTCAGCTGTTCTCTGTGCTGCAAGGTAACAGCACTGCAAGGTAACACTACATTAAAAAAAAAAGCGGAGTGGTGCATGCGGAGGCAGCACGTGCTGCTCAGAACTGAAGCCTGGCCAACTGTAGCCATGCTCTGGCTGTTGGCCAGGCTCTGAGAGGCAGGATCATTGCTGCTGGAGCACCAGGAGGCCCCCAGGACCCCAGGTAAGGCTGTTGGACCAGCCCAGTGTGGCAAGGTATGCCACCACTTCTTGTCCCTAGCGAAACAAATGTCCACACTTGTGTGGATGCAGCCAAAGGGTGCAACTCCATGTGAACTTTACCATGGCGTAGACTATTAGCTTTGCAGTAAAGCGTCACAGTCTACATGTGCACCGGTATTAGGGCACAGTAGATTAATTAACTCTGCCATAAAATAGTATGGTTGGGGACAGTACTATTTTATGGTAGAGTGCTTACGTACAATCAAATGCACATGTAGACTGTGACAGGAATTGGCTGGGGCAGAAGGTGCTAAATTATGGGGGCCTGCCTGCTGGATAGCCCTGCACTGTAGCACCTTTGTGCCCCAGTCAGCCCTTCCACCACTCAGTGCCACCACCTGAAGCCCAGGGCTGACACCTGGGCCCCCTGCCAACCTGGAGCTGCTCTGCCCTGGCTCAACAAGCTGCAGTCCCAGGCACACATGTAAAGGGGAGCAGCTAACTCTGGTGCAAATTGTGCCAGAGTTTATTTCTGCAAACTAATAGCACATGTAGATGCGCCCAAAGGTACTTGTATCAGTATCTTCAGAGTTTCTATTTGGTTCATTATTACATATTATTACATACAAATGCAGCACCTACTGAGACAACCTAGAGAGCTTGGATGAAGCTTGTCTGAGTTGACAACTGCTTAGTTTTTTCCAGGAACCTGTCCCTTCATTAATTAGATATTAGATACCATAATACAGAGCCTATATATCCTTGCTCCTGGCAAGGTTAACTCATTCCACTAAATCCATGGGCAGTATCTCTTCACATGTTAGCAACAGTTTGCAACCCAGTGGGTCCCAATCCTCCTCTCAAAAGTCCCTGGCCTTAAAAAAATTTTCATGGGTGTAACAGAGAAGAATACTGTTCATTTAATGCAATAAAGATATAACTATTGTATCATTAAGCTAATACTGTACTAATTGTTTTGATCTTTAAAGAATGCAAATCAGCAGTGGGGAAAAAGAAAATTGGCTTGGTTGACTTTTTAAACATACATACAAAGTGTATATTGTACATAGTCACAGTTGTTTCCTAGGAAAATAATTGCTGAGTTCAGACCCATTTTTCCATAAGAATTAGTGAAACAAAAAGTTAAAAGTGAAATCAACAGCCGAGACACACAAACAAAAACAAGGTAACATTCTCATAAGGGGACAAATTATGCTTTTCTTTTTTATTTTATGAATACATATACAAGATATGCATAATCTTCCATTAGTCAGGCTTAAAAGTAACAGATTTTGTTTTTAAAATAGCTTGAAGAAAACTGACAGAGTTGGTGCAACATATCTAAAATATACAGTTGATTATTTTGCTCAAATTATTGCTGAAATGCAAACACTGTGCTGTGTGTGTATATGTGTGTGGTCAAAGCCTCACCCCGGATATTTCTCTAAATGAATAAAAAATGCTTTGGCATATCCAGAGGCTCCTCCACTCATGCTTTCTTGACATTTCTGAAGTAGACAGAACACAAGCAGAGATTATACCATATATCAGTTTCACTCCTTGGCAGCAATGTTTTTAAATGTGAAGGGAGTTCGGGGGAAAGGAAAAAAGGAGTGATTCTGTTGAGAAGATATGTTTACCTCCATATTAAGATGATTATATTAGCAGGATGAAACGGGATGCAAACAGCTTCAAATAGAAGCAATTGTGAGATACATACATATATACGTATGTATGTATGTATGCATATAATGAGAAAATGCTTATTTTATATGAGAGGAAGATTTGTCAAGATAACATATAATGAACCACTCTAAGACTAGCTTCCAGCAAAACATTTTGCTTTATTAGATCTAATTTCTAGCTACACATTAAGCTGACATCTGTCAAACTTTTTTTTTTATATGGCAGTCTATATGAATTTTTTCATGCAACTTCTACAATTCTAATACAGGGTGAATAACTTGGATTAAACAGGTGGGGAATAACAGATTACTATTAGGACCAATAACAGCATAATATGTACATAGCGCCATATTATATTCTGATGTCTTCACAGTAATGTGCAAATGTGACAAATATGGCTTTTATTTTGTGTAAGAAAAGAAAGTAAGACATAATTGTACAGAATATTTTAATATGTTTAGGAGTTTTTCACTTCCTGTGAAACATGTTCAATTCTCATTACGTTGAGGCTAAATAGTTGCCACCTCAGTATGGAGGTGTAGTTTAGGCATATTTCCAGAAGGGGGCATTGATTCCTAAGGCACAATATTAATGTTAAACAGTTTTAAATTAAACCATGCTTTTTTTTTGGGTTATATGAAATAATAGAATGTTGTTAGTTATATAATAAGCTGTTGATTTTACAAAATACAATGTTAAAGGCTACACTACATGCCTATCTGTGCTCTGTGAATGTTAGCTAATCAGAAAACATACTATACAGCGCTGCTTATGAAACTTTTGTTTTTTTGGTAATATTTTTTTTTGTACATGTAGCAGAGAGTTATAAGGCTTCTGTGGAATAAACTTATAACTGAACAAATATTTTACACTCTTTCGTACTAGTATTTACAATTACATTAGTTCATATTTTTCCATTTGGTAAATAATATGTATTTTGTATGCATCTTTTTTGACTATCTAAAGTGCTTGCTTAACTGCATGAGGAAAGACAATGTATACCTGTCATAGGTGCAACAGACCCTCAACTGAAGTAGCTGAAACATTTGTTTTGGATCTGAAATGTGTTCTCAGTAATGGAAATTATTGCTAAATTCAGTGCCCTCAGCAGGCAGTCATCTATATTATTTGTCATATATAAATATATGCATATATACTAGTATGTATGTACATGCATACACATACATCTATCATGTAATAGATAGATTTCATTTTTTGTCCATCAACCTTATTACTTTGTGCTACTCAACTTACTTGTGCTATGACTGAAGCCTGATTAAAATCAAAATCTTAACATGCTACTACTAACAATCCTATGATTCATTAGCACATAATATAGACAGTATGAAAAAAGAAAGAGCTGAGATGACAAATTGGGAGGCTCTTGAAATGCACTGAGAATAAGGCAACAGGCTGTATATTACAGCAGAGAAAAAGCTGAAGAAATTCTGGAATTCACAAAGGTATTTTACTCTCAGTAGGGGTGTCTTTCCCCTCCAATAGGCAGTCCTTTGATTTTTAAAACATCCGTTTCCAGAATTGCAAGCTTTATAGGTTCTGCACCCACCAATACCTTTTATGGTAGCAAACTCAAAGCCTATTAAAAAATGCCCTGATGCCACAATCTGGTAAAATAAGGCACTTCCAGGGATGTATTCCAGTGGTGCCAAAAGGATCGGTTCTGGGTTTCCTAGTTTTATCCCAGAAAAATGCGCCATCTTAACAGTTTATTCCCTCCCTTTTTTTTCCTCTTGAGATGATTTTCTTTAAAGAAGATATTTCATCAGTTGAGGTCGAAGAACTACTTCTTTGTAAGCAAGAGGTAAATCTTCAGTTCCTAACATTCAGTAAGGTGGAAGATCAGAGTGGTACCAGGTAATATCTTCAGTTTTTTTAGTAACTGTGCTGTAGCTGATATATCAGCTGAGCTAAAAGTGTGTGGGTTGCAAACTAGTCCAATATTGCAAGCTATGAATGGACATTGGTGCTGGAAAGGTCATTCCTTATAATTTCATTTACTGCAAAGAAAGAACACAAGAAAAAAATAATTATTAAAATTAAACTTGGGTATGATTACTGTTTCTTATGTCAAATAGATTAAAAGAAGACTGTATCAGTTCCTTTACAGTTCTGCTATAATTTTCAACATTAAGCATAACACCCATGATTAGATAGCTGAAACAGGCTGACCAAAGTGCAAGAGAGCAGGATTAACATAAGTTATTAACATGCTAAACACTGTATGAAACCAGACATCACAAGAACAGCAGCATCTTGGGTCTTTTATTGCATCAAACAAATTTAACACTTTGAATGAGTTACAAATAAAACATTCATCTGCTCCGGAACTGGCTCTGATGCTCAAAGTATTGATTGACCATAAGTTTTAGAATAAATTATCTATTCCACAAAAATAGCCAGAAGGATTATATGTTAGTATTCTTGACACAGCAATGCCATGGCACAAAGCTGCCAGTTACAGAGCTGAGCACTTGAAGCTGTGATGCCTCTGTAGAATAAGACTACACATGCTAATTTTCCACTGTGGGATGATTAAAAAAATGAAAGGAAATGGGTGTGTTTGTCCATTACTTGCTATGGGTAAATGAATAAATACACTTTCCTTTCATGTTGATCAACACTCATGAACGTGTGGCCTCTGCTCCTATCAATGAAGACAGAGGGGTGGGGAGGATCAAGTTAAGTTTTAGGCCAGAAGTTGCAGAAAAGCATAAACAAGGCCCATTATCTAAGCATCAGCCAGTCAGACTGCATCTCCACTGATAAAGTATTGTTTTCTTTACTCATGACTCTTCTTTTATTCTTTCCTCCCTTGTAGCTCATCAGGCCATATTGTTTCCCACACTCAAATTATGTCCATTTATCAGCGTGTGATTTTTGGCAGATGGACAGGAAATGACTGAACCTAGCAAAGGCCATCTACAGTGAACTGCACAACATCCCTTTTATTTCCACCCCACCTCCCTGCAGCCACTGCCACCACCTGATTTACATCCAGATAGACTGAATGCCATCAGTAAGGCTGTCACTGCTTCTGAGTTTTCCTAACTTTACTGGGAGGGGAAACACAAGCCCACGTCATGGAACTACCAGGAGTTTTCCTTTGCTCGTGGGCTGCTGTTCACTACCATCCAGATAACTCTATGTGTTTGTTGGAAAGAGCCCAGCATGTCTAAAATCAACTTCCTGAAGCAATTAGTTGTCGAACATGTTTTTTCTTCAGACCTATTGCACAGTTTGTAACAACAATGCAGGAATCAGTCAGGATTAGGGCCATGGAAGCTGATCAGTGGTTCGTTTGGTGCTGACTTACATATATGTCCTACAATAACAATGGAACATCAGTTGTATTTGTGATTACCTATTTGTTTCAGAAAACTAAGAGCAGAACGGAAATGACACGTAAAGACAAAATACTTCTTTCTCTTGATAGTACCATGGAATTGATATTTTATATTAGAAAACAATGGAAACACATTCAGATGGCAACTCCAGTACTGGTGAGAAGAAATTACTTTGCACATCCCCTAGTAAAATAATAACGCAACAATGTTTACAGGTTCTCGAGTCAAGACAGTTTTCTGAACCGAACCTCAACCTTGAATGCAAATACTGCACTCTTTTGTTGTGGGAAGACATCTTCCTGACATTTCTGTCAAGATAAACCTCATAAAGCAGCATTAGGTACACTACAAAATATGTGGCAGCATCCCCATGTAAATGTGGTAATGAAAACAATCCCCTGAGGGCTAGAGATCAAGTTTCACCTTTGTGTACTTTCCCTGTAGGTTTCTTCTGTGCTGAATAATGCTAAGCCACTATTCAAACTGCTCCTTAATTTTTATACATACAGGGCGCATCTGCATGGGATGCTTACTGTGCGGCAGCCTAATAACCCTGTGCAGTAGTGTGCCGGTCAAAAACTGTCCTAATAAGCTACTGCACTGTGTTATTAGGCTACTGTGCAGTGGCTATCACAAAAAACCCATCCGCCCACACTACTGTGCAGTAACTAGTTACTGTGCATTTAGTTAGTACTTCATTACGGAAGTACTAAACTAAATGTGTAGTACCTACTGCACAATAATGAATGTGTAGACGTGCCCACAATGGAGATTCAGGATGAATTCTCACAAAGTTTCTGTGAGGTAGGTTAAGCAACAAAAGTGGCATTTCTGACGTGGCAAAAGCCAGGACTAGGACCCTTAACTCTTAGGGCAAAGGCAAGTTAGAACATGGAGTTTTTCATATCAAGGCAAGTGTAGACACAGCTCCAAGTGAAAGCTCTAAATGCAGTAAAAACTGACTACGGGAAAAATTTGAAAATAACCTAAACTACCCAGGAATCTAAGTTCCATTTTCAAAAGTGATTTAGACACTGAGTTGTCCTTTGATTTTTGGGGGACACTGACTTTCAGTGGGAACAGCTTCCTCAGAGCCCAAGTACAGTAATTTTATAAAAACAGGAGTGAGCTCCTAAGTCACCTAAGTGCCTTTGAAAATGTTATTTACCTCTACAGCAAACTTTTCCTCAGCATGACCCCATGTTCTTAGCATAGCCCCTCATTCCCAACCCACTGTCTCCCACCCCCACGACCCACCCGCTGTTGTTGTGACCCCATATGGGGTTGTGACTTACAGTTTGGGAACTGCTCTCCTAGAGGGTAAGTGATTTTTTCAAAGTCACCCACCAAGCCCCTTCCATCTGGGAGCTCAACTCGCCTGAGTCACAGCCACAGACTGGAACAAACTCCCCCCCAGAGGTGGTGCAAGCACCTACTTTGGACTCTTTTAAAAAACAGGTGGATGTATTTCTTTCTGGGGTCACTTGACCCCAGCTGACTTCCTGCCTATTGGTGGGGGGGCTGGACTCGATGATCTCACGAGGTCCCTTCCAGCCCTAATGTCTATGAAATGTCTATCCTTTTCTAATATTTTACCTAAACTCAACAATGAGACCTAATATTATCAGGACCACATGTGAGATCTATCAAAGTCGCTGGCAGCTGTATTATTGACTTTAGGGAAGATTCTGTGCAACTCTCTCATTGTAGCTGAGCTTCCACTATCTTTATGAGTGACAGTCCAGCACAGCTTCCTCATATACAAAGACATCTACTTAATAACATCCCCTTCACCATATCAACATATACCCAAAAGATAGCTGAATCTTGCAATAGTGTATCCATTGCCACTGGAAAACAACCTGATCTCACAAACAAATGGGACTGAGGCAGGTGAAAGGGCCAAGACAGTAGCTGGTGGCAAGATTTTACATCACTCTCATCTAGTATTACCTCCTTTTAATGAGGCTCTTTATTTCACCACTTTTAAATAGCAAATAAATTAAAAGTGTGGGCTCTTTCTAGGTCATGTGAAATGATGCTGACAAAGAGTACAAGAGGAAGGCAAGATGTGAAGGAATCCCTGTCTTGCTTAGCAGTCAGTATTGTAATTTAGTAAGTCTAGTAATTTAGATACAGCTGAAAAACCCATCTGTTTGAACACATGAAAGGGGGAAAAAGAGCAGAAGTATGCTAAGAGTGGGCTTTCCCTTGCTGCCCACTAATGCACCTGAGCCTGTGAGGGAATGCCCTTCAGTGGGTGGGAGTGACAGAAATCATTCAGCATGCTTGTGCAGTCTAGGACCCAAGTGATACACTTTTGTGTGATGCTTGCTGTGATTGACTAGTAAATCTATTCACTTCCTCCATCAATGTGTTTCTAGCATCTAACTTAAATTCAGTGAACAGATATGGCCAAAAGAAATTGAGGGGGAAAAAAGCAAAAAAGCCCAAAGCTTTTTGTTAAATTTCATTTATATCTGTTTTTTGATTAAAAAAAAAAAAGGTTGAAAAAAACCCTCTGAAATTAAATGAAAATTTCCACAGAGGTCAAATGAAATGTTTAATTTAACCCTAAAATATTTCTTTTTGGTTCAAACATATTGAATTCAATTTCAAACATTTTTTTCAGTATTTCATTTTGGCAGGAATATTGGGGCTTGATCTTTATGCTGCTGAACCAAAAATTCAGTTACTGGCAGAGCCCTAATCCTAGTTACAAACAGAACTTCTCCCAAATGCACCTCAGCTATTTAAACACTGATGGAATGATTCCTCTAGTTGGACCAAAAATTCATCCTATATTCAATGATTCACCCTGTTGCTCTCATGAATAGGCAGGTTTTGGACTACATATCTGTCACTTCAATATGATGGCCCACTATATAAGGATCAACTTATATATCTATGTAGCACAAGCAAAATTTTGGTTTACTTTGACTTCAATTTTTTTAATATCCTTGGGTCTGTAGGTTAAAATGATGCAGAGCACCCGGCTGTTCCTAATTCTAAGAGTAGTAATATTTTGTGTGCACATAATACTTTCCAACTAAAAGTTTCAAGGCTTTACAAACATTAATTAAAATTACACAATCTTAGTATTCTTGTGAAAAGTGTATTAAACCCAATTTATAAATGTGGAAGCTAAGACTCTTAAAATTAGCTCATTTGCTTAAAGTCTCAAAGTAATACCATGGCAAATCTGGAATAGAGTTAGTGTGTTCATCTTAAGTGCCCAGATTAGAACAACACTTCCTGCACAAAACACATCCCTTTCTATCTGATATCAAAAAGCTGAGTGTGATAAATTTACAACACATTTGTCATCAGATTTTAGTTTGTTTTTCTGGTTTTTTGGGGGGAGCAGGCATTGTTACTTCTGTAGCTAACACCTACAGTTCCCCACAATGCCTTCCCTCAATTAATATTTTCCATCTTCATGTACAGCTTTTCCACTGACATCAAGTCAAAAAAATAATAGTGCTGAGAAATGCAGGTAACACGTGACCTTTGTACCTGTTAGAAGCCTGAAAGAGGAACTTTTCCTTTGCTAAACATCAGATGCCACAGCAGCAGGATGTGGTGAGCTGTTATACCACAATATAGTTTAATAAGGAGTTTTTTCTTTTTATATTTAACTTTGCTTGAAAATG